CTAATCGATTTCGTCCGTGAATGATGACCGGCTTATGTTGGTTATATCCCTTTGTAATGCTTCGTGAATGATCCCGTTGCATTGGAAATCGCACAATCGCTCGGTTAAGAACCTCTCTACTTCTTCTTCAATTTGCCTTTATTGGGGGTAGTGGAACTCTTGGTTGCTCTTCTATATGCTCAGCTCATCTATGTCGCAGCTGCGATGCATGTGGTACGTTCCTAGCAGGCGAGCGAATTTCTCGCAGACTGCTGGTTGAACTTGAGCCGGATCGGGTGACTGTTTCTCTCCATTTGTCGTGCTGCCTACTTCGATGCGAGGTGAATGATGTTCCTTACGGGCCTAACTGCGAATGAACACTTTCCTTGAAAGGTTGCTCATGTTAATTATCAGAGTATGGCCCCAACCGTGGATGTATGCACGTCCGTGGGCATAGACAATAATGCATGCTCTTTTGCGTGCTAAGACAAGAGTATATGCTACATTGGGAGCCCAGTCAAGAGTGTACACTGCTAGAACGCTCGGTTTGTGACTGGTCGAGTGGCTACTTTCCGGGATGTTGCTGGAGAGGTTTGTTGTTTGCCTTTATCCTACTTCGGGACACCTCATTTGGGTCACGTGGCATCTCGGTCATATATCTTTCATGTTTTAGAGTATAAACATATAACAACACCATAATCATTTGTGAATTTAGAGTATATGCATTTATTAGCATTATTATTTTAAATCCATATGATAAAATGAAAAAAATAAAACTTTTCATGCCATTGTTTTGGTGCTTGCTTCAATCCATATACGACTTTACTAATCCAAGGAGAATAAACCTTTCTGGTTGTTCCATGTAGACTTCTTCATCCAAATCACCATTTAAAAATGTTGTTTTCATATCCATTTGATGCACATGCAAATTATATAAAGATGCCAATGCAAACAATATTCTAATTGATGTGAGTCTAACTACTGGTGCATATGTATCGAAATAGTCTATTCCCTTTTTCTGCTTAAAACCCTTAGCAACCAGCCTGACTTTAAATGTCTAAATAAACCCGTTTGTATTGTATTTTCTTCTAAACACCCACTCACAACCTATTGCTTTCGATCTTTGGGGCAAGTTTACTAAAACCCATGTCTGATTAGATATTAATGATTCAAATGCATCATCTATAGCCTCTTTCCAAAAGGCTGCATCTCTTGAAGTCATTGCTTCGCTTAGACTTTTAGGATCATCCTCAACATTCAACAATATGGGTATTTTTTTTAAGAACCTTTTTTCTATTTCCTTCGACTAAAAATACAATAGATTGAGATGACATAAAATCAGAGCCTAGAGTCTTTTCTTTTCTTACTCTTTGGCTTTTCCTTAGTTCATTAACAGTTTCAGATTGTTTTCTTGTCTCACCATGAAAATGACTAGTAGCCGGATTAGAGAAGGGTGTTTGATCATTCTCTTTTCCAGACATTGAGTAGTCGTTATAAAATTTATTTTCTATAAATTCGATATCTCTAGACTCAACTATTGTATTTGAGTCTAAATTAAGCAACCTATATGCCTTTGAATTTTCTGCATATCCTACAAATATGCTTTTAATTCCTTTTGGACCCAACTTGGATCTCTTAGGGTCCAGTGCCTTGTAAAAGGCTACACAACTGCATACTCTCAAATATGACAAATTTGGTTTTCTTCCCAAATTTCATATGGTAAACATTTGTCTTTGTAGATGTAATTTTATTGTGTATATGGCATGCAGTAAATAATGCTTCTCCCCATAAATGTTTAGGAGTATTAGCATTAATCATCATAGAATTAATCATTTCAGTAAGTGTCCTATTTTTTCTTTCTATCAAACCAATTTGTTGTGGTGTATAGGGAGCAGTTCTTTGATGTACAACACCATGCTCTTCACAAAAGATATCAAATACATATGAAAAATATTCACCACCTCTATCACTACGAAGGCATTTAATTTTCCTTCCTTTTTGGTTTTCAACTTCAGCTTTATAGCGCTTAAAACACTAAGAAGCTTCATCTTATTAGACAATAAATAAACATAAGTAAACTTAGAATAATCATCTATAAATGTGATAAATATCTTTTTCCACCTCTTGTTAAAACACCATTAAATTCACATATGTTAGAATGTATTAAGTCTAATAAATTTGTATTTCTTTCGGCAGTTGGAAAAGGTTTCTTAGTCATTTTCCCTTGAATACATGTTTCACATTTATATTGTAATCATCATTGCAAGCAATTAAACCAAGTGTGCGCATGTATTTTAAAGATCCAAAATTTACATGTGCTAAACGTAAATGCCATAAATGAGAGGAAGATTCAACAATATAAGCAAAAGAATTCACTTTATTATTAATACTTAGTTTGAACATCCCATTATGAGAATACCCTTTTGCCAACAAACATCCTATTTTTTGACATTATTAACTTGTCGGATTCTAGAACAGTCTTTCTACCGTTCTTATACAGTAAATTTGTAGACACAATTCTTTCTAATTTATGGAACATGTAGTACATTAAGCAATGTCAATTTCTTTCCAGAAGTAAATTGAAGTTCAACCGTTCCTTTTCCTAGAGCTTTGGCGGAATTTGATTCCCCATTAAAACCTCTTGATTGTCCGTTGATGTTTCATGTCTTGAATTGTGCTTTGTCATTACACACATGTATAGTAGCCCCTAAGTTGAGTCACCAATCAGATGATTTTATTGCCGCTGCCATATTTAGTTTCGTAATCATGCCAATATGCATCATGGATAGCATTGCAACGATGTTATGAATTCCAGTATTTTCCACCATATTTGCGCTATTGGTCTTATTGGCATATTCCTCACTCGCTTTTCTGTGGCTACAATCATGAATGTAATGGCCTTTCTTTCCACAAAGGTAGCATACGCCATTTGCATTCTTTTGATTGTTGTTGGGATTGGTCTTATTAAACTTCCCTTTGTCAATTTTGACTTTGAAGTTCTTTTTGTATTTGTTTTCTTCGACAATGTGAACTTTAAAGGAATCTTGATTTGCAAAATTCTTATCACGATTTTGAGTTTCCTCTTCAATTTGAATACCTTTTTGCAAATCCTCCAAACTAAAATCTTCCACCATGTGTAGAAGTTTCTTTCTATAATTATTCCATGTTTGGGGTAATTTTGCCATAATAGGCCCAACTATCATAGGATCCGGAATAACTATTTTAAGTTCACAAAGCTTTGAGACTAAGACCAATAATTCATGAACTTGGTCTAGAATGGGTTTGTTATCAAACATAGTGAACTCATAATATTTGAACATTAAAAATTTATCGACACCTCTTTTCTCTGTTGTGAACTTGTGTTCAAGTGCTTCCCAGATTTCCTTTGGAGATTGAACATGTGTGTACAGGTCATATAAGTGTGTACAGGTCATATAAGCGATCAGATAATGTGCCCAAGATGTGTCCTGTACATACCAATTCATCTTCTTCATGCTTTAGTTGATCAGCAACTATTTTGTCCGTGTCTTTGTCACTTGGTTCACGAATAGGCTCCAATTTTGGGTCCAACACATATATGACATTTACAACAGTAAGCATGAAACACATCTTGTCATTCCATTGGGTGAAGTTTGATCTATCAAATTTGTCTAGCTTGTAGACATCTTGATTGATAATCTTCAAAGTTGTGTATCAGACTTGTTTTATTTAGAATAGCAAGCATGAAGCACATCTTGTCCTTCAATAGGGTGAAGTTTGATGCATTGAATTTGTCTAGCTTGTAGACATCTGGATTGATAATTATCAAGGCCATGTTATCAAACTTGTTCTTCATGACGAAAATAACACTTTAAGATTGTTAGAGTAAATGTAGAAATATAGAGAATAAACTGAAGAATGACTTTGAAGTATGACTTGAATCGTTTCCTTAAAGTGTTATTTGCCCATACTCGAATGAGTTTGCTAAAATGTTCTTGACAAATCACTTCCAAGATACAATAAAGTATGAAATATTCGATTAGCAAAACCAAATTAAATTCCCTTATAAATAACTAGAAAGAAATTGTATGAATGTGTTGGAGAGAGAAGAGAGAGCAAAAAAATTGTGTAGACAACAAATTTTTAAATGAATTTCTCTTCTACCAATTTACCAATACATAGGGGAGATTGCACCCATTAGACACATCCTTTGGTTTGAGTATGCCTTTTCACCATGGGATAGAACTCATTGTAGCAGTATGTCCAATGGACATATCTAATACAAAACACCAATTACCCAGAGATTATATATGTTGTAATATTGAATTTTGAATGTCTATTTTTTTATTATATCAAACAAGGTACAAGGAAAGCTCTTATATATGAGCGGAAGAAAGGGAAGAAACAGAAACGGAAAACAAGGGACAACACTTCCTTGATTTATGCTTTACCAACAACTAAAGGTGAGGACAATCAGCTAACAACTAAAGCAAGGTAGAAATCCCTTGAATTAGTGAGAATGACAACTATGACAGCCATACACAACCATGACAACCATACTTAGTTGTTAGACTGCAGTGTACCATACATACGCCCATGCTTGCCGACTAGGGTTTAGGATTAACTTAGACTAACCCTAGAACTTCTTCCAATACTCCCCCTCAAGCTGGATCAAAGGGATCAATTGATCCGAGCTTGAATAGAAGGTGATGAAAAGTAGTAAATGACAGTTCTTTGGTGAAGATATCTGCAAGTTGATCATGACTGCGAATGAAGTGTGTAGCAATTACCTTGGACTGCACTTGATTTCGAACATAGTGACAGTCAACTTCAATGTGTTTAGTTCGCTCATGGAAGACAGGATTTGATGCGATGTGCATTGCTGCTTGATTGTCACAATGAAGGGACATAGGTTGTGGGTGAGGAAACCCTAGGTCCGAGAGTAGAGTTTTGAGCCAAGTGAGTTCACATGCTGTCGATGCCATAGCACGATATTCCGCTTCTGCACTTGAGCGTGCAACCACACTTTGTTTCTTGCTCTTCTAGGTGACAAAATTACCCCCAACGAATGTGCAAAAACCAGTGATAGACTTGCGATCAAGAGAGTTCCCTGCCCAATCTGCATCTGTATATCCTGAGATCTGTGTATGACCATTATTGCACATGAGGATCCCTCTACCAATGGAACCCTTCAGATAACGAAGCACACGGTGAACAATCTTCATGTGATCTGTGTTTGGAGCATGCATGAACTGACTAACAAGGCTCACAGCATATGCTATATCAGGACGAGTGATAGTTAAGTAAATGAGCTTGCTAACCAATCTCTGATAATACTCTATATTAGGAATAAGATCACCATGAAACTGCAGCTTCAAGTTGCTATTCAAAGGTGTCCGAGCAGGTTTACAATCTGTCATGTTTGCCTCATGAAGAAGATCAATGATGTACTTACGCTGATTTAGAAAACAGCCCTTGTGGGAATGTGCCACCTCGATTCCTAAGAAATACTTTTGAGTGTCGAGATCTTTGATAGCAAATTTGTGATTGAGATATTATTTAAGAGCACTAATCTCAAAAACATTATCACCGGTAACAATTAGGTCATCGACATAAATAAGCACCATAAGTTTACCAGATGTGCCCGATCGCACAAATAGAGAGGAATCAGCATTGCTCCGAGAGAAACCAACTTCCTCTAGGACATGACTGAGCTTGGCATACCATGCTCGGGGACTTTACTTGAGGCCATAAATGGATTTATGAAGTCTGCACACCAAGTCTGGATTGTTTGATTGAGGATGACCCGGAAGGATTTTCATGAAAACTTCTTCTTCTAGTTCCCCATGTAAAAAGGCATTTTTAACATCCATTTGAAAGAGAGGCCAGGTATTGTTAATGGCAACAGATAACAGCACCCTCACTGTATTCTTCTTTGCCACAGGTGCAAAGGTCTCTTTGTAATCCACTGATAGGAGCATATTCATGCGACTTAAATGGCTTGTTCTCGTACATTTACGTTATGTTTCTTTAGTTATTTTAGTTCTTTATGCTTCTTTTGTGTGTTTTCAGGTTCTAAGGGCTTAGGGAGCAAGAAAGTGCATTTTGAGGCCATTTGGAGCATTTTTGGGCATGGATTGGATAGCTTATCCATGGAGCCAAGAGGATGGACGAATTTGAAGGCCTTGTATGCTCTTTGGGGACATCAAACAAAGGGCCTAGCCCAATCAAACACATTATGCCATACAAACCAACCTATTTTAGGCCCATTCTATGTACTTAAACCCTAGCCCTTTAAACTAGTTCATTTATCACTTATCAAACCATTCACTTATCACTCACCACATATCATTCACTTATCACTTAACATATCATTCATTTATTTCACTTCCATACTCCTCTTAATTCCACATGCATTCTCACACATGCACATCATTCACTCACATTTCCACCATTCATTCTTTATTCCACAAACAAGTCACATGCATTCACACATCAACAAAACAACTTCATTGCCGTGGGTTCCCATTTCCTTTCCAAACATCTCACATGCATTTCCACCTTCCTACTTCATCATTACACCACCTTCTCCATCTTTAATCACATGCACCACCAATTCAACACATGCACTTGTTCCTCCATTAAATCAACCACATTCATCACCAAAGAACCCTTGTGCCGTGAGTTCCATTGCATTTCCACCTTACATTTCCACATGCATTCACTTCATCATTACACACCACTCATTCTCTAATTCACATGCCTTCATTCATTCTTTATTCCACTTACACTCATCATCACACACCTTAGCAATCAACACATGCAATCACATGCATCACAACCACAAAGAACCATCCCCAAAACACTTTGCCGTGGGCACCATTCCACATTCCAGCTTTCCACCATGTTTTTCCATCATTTCCTCCACACAAACACATTAAACAAACAGCCATTTACACCTCCATTACTCCTATAAATACCCTTGCATTCATTCATTCAATTCATATCTCATATTTCCATTCACAACACTTCACACAACACAAATACACATCCATTGCCGCAATTCCCCTTCCATTTTCTGTGCAGTTTTTCTCCTTCATTGCAGCCACTATCCAACCACTCCCTACTCCATTCCACATACACCTAAAGCCCTTAAGCTCACCTTAGACCTTGTGCTACAACAACGAGGAAGAAAAGAATGCTTAAACGTTCATACAATTCAAGTTTGAGTTGTTGGAATGTTTAGGTGTTTCTTTGATTTCAAAGTTTAAATTTAATTCTCTTTGTTTTGTACGTATGAGAAGGGAAGAGAAGAGTGCCTAAACGTTCATACAATTCACGTTTGAGTTGTTGGAATGTTTAGGTGTTTCTTTGATTTCAAAGTTATGAGGAACTAAACCCCCTTTAGCTAGGGGGTGATTCGAAACTATGTTTATATTTGCAATTTGAATTGATTACGTTTGGTTGGAATTTCATAAGTTGTGGATTCAATTCGTTTAACTGTTTGATGGATAACTTATTTATGTATGTTCATTGAGATTGCAAGCTTAATTTTCATGCATAAATATGACGCTAGAATATAAGTGAATTTCACCTAATCGCTATGAACTTATATTCACAAGTAGTGGACGTTGCTTATAAACAATCGCGTTAAACGAATTCTTGGCATAAGTTTCATGCGTATTCCATGGTAACGAATGCCTCGTCGATGTTTATGATTTCCGTTGAACTTAATGATCTTTGTTGAATGTCTCTATCATGCGTATTCCATAGTTAGGGACTTTGATTAAGAATAATTTGGTTGTAATGCGTATTCCATTCAATCCAACGAATTTAGGGAAATCTGAAAGTTAATCTAAGCGGATCTAATTAACTTGGAGCATTGAGTTTCACAACTTATCGAAAGACCAACTAAGAATCAATTTTGTTTTGCAAGTGTAACATGTGTGGAGAAGAACCCCTTGGCTATTCCATCATCCATATTTTTATCACATTCATATTTACATTTTGCCTTTAATCATATTCTGTCTTTTTAATTTAATATCGTCCAACCACAATTCCCCCCCCCTATTTTGTTAAGTCTTAATCATTCGTATTTGTTTTATTTTTGTATCTTTAAGCTTTTGGAGTCATAAACAATTGCAAATTCGTCTAAATCAAGTTCTAGCTTCTATTTGAGTCAATTTGTTTGTTTTAGACAATTTGAGTTTTTCAAAGCCTTTCTGAGTCATAGTAGTCTTGTTAAGAGTATTTTAATTTAGTTTTTATGTTTTTAAGTCAATTTAGAAGGTTTTAGCAAGCCCTCCTAATCCCCGGTCTAGAACGATCCCTCACTTATCCATTCTACTACAATTGTCAAACGAGGGTTTAATTTGAGTGTCAAGTAAATCTCGCATCAAATTTTGGCGCCATTGCCGGGGATTAGCAACTTTGCTAATCCTTTGTCTTTATTTTTATATTTTGTTTTTCGTGCATTCTTATTTCAAATTCTTAGTTTGTTTGTTTCCTTGTTTTTTTTAGGTACTGTGTATGACTCGTAGCTCTCGGCCTATTATAGAGAACATCTCCGACTTTGACGGTGATTTTGAACGCACTTTGAGGAGAACGAGGAGTCAACAAGAGCCACCACAACCTCCACCACAACCTGGGCTTGAAGAAGACGAAGTAGGTGTAGAAGAAAAGCCCACGGATCAGATTTTTGAAGAAGAACAAGCCATGGCAGCAGATAATAGAACCATCAAGGAGCTTTCGGCCTCGGGTTTGGATAATGCATTGCCTCTTTGTATCCAATACCCCACGGCTGCAGAGGGGAAGACTGAGGAATTTGAACTCAAATCCAGTTTGTTACACCATATTCCGAAGTTCCATGGCTTGTCTATGGAAGACCCCAACAAACACTTGAAGGAGTTCGAGGTGGTTTGTTCGAGCATGACCCCCGTCAATGTGGATGGGAGTATATTGAAGATGAAGGCCTTTCCATTTTCACTTATGGACAAGGCCAAAGATTGGCTCTACGAACTAGCCCCGGGAACTGTGACTTCGTGGGAGAGTATGAAGCGTGCTTTCTTGGAGAAATTCTTCCCTACTTCGAGAGTGATTCTCCTACGGAAGAAAATTAGTGGTATTCAACAGAATCATGGTGAGACATTCCCGGCTTATTATGAGCGCTTCAAGGGCCTTGTAGCTTCATGTCCTCAACATCAAATGAAGGAGGAACTTCTCCTTCAATATTTCTATGAGGGCCTCCTTCCTATCGAACATCAAATGGTTGATGCATCAGCGGGAGGAGCATTGGTGGACAAAACACCAAGGGATGCCAAGATTCTCATAGCCAACCGAGCGCTCAACGCTCAACAATATGAAGGAGTGGGCCAAAGGGAAGCCCCACGGCAACAAAGTGTAAATGAGGTGAGTGCTATTTCTGAAATTCAATCACAACTTGCTAATCTTACTTCTCTTGTTTCTCAGGTTATGATTGGTCCAAAAGCACAAGAACACCAAGTTTGTGGCGTGTGCTCAATTCAAGGGCATCCATCCGACAAGTGCCCTCAACTAATCGAGAATGGTGGGTGGGAATCTGCCAATGCAATTGGTTTCCAAGGACAAAATCAAAACAACCCATACTCGAACACTTACAATGCCGGATGGAGGGACCATCCAAACTTCAAATGGAGGGAGCCACAACAAGCTGCCCAACAAGGAGGATTTAGGCCAAACCCCCCTGGTTTTCATTCCAAGCCGTATGCACCCCAACAACCTTCGACATCATCTCATTCAGGTACGTCCTTGGAAAGTGATCAAGCTATGCAATTACTAACCTCTATTTCGCAGGGGTTGCAAAATCAAAACAACCGGATAGCAAATAACGAGAAGGAGATGACGGATATGAAGAAACAAATAGGGCAGATTTCTGAGTTCCTTGGACAGATTAGAGAGCAAGGAAAGCTTCCTAGCTCAACCACAGTCAATCCAAAGGGAGGATTCGAATCCGACAAGGCCATCACCCTAAGGGGTGGAAAAGAAGTTGGGACCGAGCCAAACAATCCCAAATCTGCCCAGAAAGTAGATGAAGAGACAACACAACCTGAGGCAGATCACCCTAACTCGGCCAAATCAGGTAATTTAAGTTCAAATTCATGTACTTCACGTCCTAATCTGCCCAATGTACCTTTTCCTCACAGGTTCATGCAAGAAAAAAAGGAAGAAAGCGAGAAGGACATTCTCGAAACGTTCCGGAAAGTGCAAGTGAACATACCGCTTCTCGATGCAATCAAACAGGTTCCAAAGTATGCTAAATTCCTCAAGGACCTATGCAATACAAAGAGAAGAAGGGCAAACAAAGAGGTAGTGAAGGTAAGCGAGAATGTGTCCGCTGTTTTGCAACGTAAACTGCCTACCAAGTGCAAAGACTCCGGGAGTT